AAATAGTATAAATGAACAAGGTCAAAAAAAAAATTCCACTTCATTATGCAAAGAAATTCATGGAACTCGTACTGCCATCTGTAGACAGTAAAACTAACTAAATTCGCGTGTTTGAAACACAATCAGTGCAGAATAATAATGGCGACCGAAGTCAGCTTGTCAGCGCGCATTGGGGAAAAATTTCACTACGCAAGTAGTGCTCGTTACTAACCATTTTGGTCAAAATCTTGCTCTCGAGCGGAACTCGTTTGCGTGCATTATGAAGCACGATTCGATTGTGAGCTGAACTCGTTCATAACCATCAAAGGGTTAAATGAGAAAACTTGTAAATTGTATGCGATTTCTTAAGCTGAATTTTAAGCATATGTGAATAGTTGCCAATGTTTTAGCATGCTTTGGTGATTTTTTTACAGAAGAAAAAAGAATGACGACAAAAAGAGCAAAATATTACTTACATTTTAATTATGTATTCAACCCAAAAATCTAAAAAACTTCCTTACAAGTGGGTTTTTGTTACTTTTATTCTGATGGAAATTTTGTGGTCATTGCTTCAAGAATAGATTTAAATATAGGCAAAACAGCAACTTTATTTCTGCATAGGTTTTAAATAAAGCACTGTGATTTGACACAGGTCCCTCTCTTCAGGAGCAAAGAAGGGAGAAGCAATGATGCTGTTTATATCAAAAACAATGAGCAAAGCAAACATGAATGTAAAGCCATCTGCCAAACTTTATGAAGGACTAGATTGAAACTGATGTCATTAACTAAAGAAGATAAATTTTTGTGAATGTGAAAAGCTTCAAGGAAATGCAATTTACCAAATTTTTAGTATTTTGCCTGTTTAATTTATTTCTATTAATGTGATATTCTGTATAATAGTACACATTAAAAACAAGTGCATTAAATACGCAACTTCAAAAATTGAAGTTATAATATCAAAATGCTGATTTTATAAGCTTTTTTTTTTTTTTTTTTTTTTTTTGTAAAATTAAGCTTAACTTCTGAAAATGCGTGGGCCAGTGGCGACAATCCATTTCAGTGTGTCTCGTCCTGTGACTGCGCTTCATTTTCTATGCGTTGGTCCTTAAGGGGTTAAAGTCTCGGCCTCGATCAAAGTGTTTGTTCACCAGTGAAAGCCAGACCTGCAGTCAGAAATGATAATAAATTTTTAAGGCATATTTGCTATTAAAATAAACTTTTCTGTTGAAATTTTGTTTCACTTACATAAAGAAGTTCTGGAACCCTTTAGTTTAGGGTTTTGGCTAGAATTACGATAATCATAGTACCATAGTCAAGCTTCAGTGCAATTTAAGTTCTGGCACAAAACATCCCACCCAAACTAAGTAATTCTATCTAATATTTCTGAAAACATTGTTATGATACCTCCATGATTGGTAAGTTCTTGGCCTTTGCTTCAATTTCTGCTTATAAAACGATCTTTTTTTTGGGAGGGGAGGGGTAACTGATCTGTATAATACCCATTTCTGATCTTCAGTAACGACCAGTTAAAGAAAGGAGCTCCTTTATTTCATTTCAGCAAAGAATCACATGCTGAAATCTGGGGAACCATATTCAGTTCTGTTAAATTATGGGGGACTCTTACATCGTAGTGAGTTATGTACCCAGTCTTTTTCAAATGTTCATTAACTGTCTTGTTTGAAGTATTTAATCTGCCAAAAGTTCCTAAACTGTGTAACATGGATTTTTAGTGATAACTTCATTTAAATAAGTTCTGGTTTACAGAAGATGATATTTCATATAGGGCATCATCCATAATGCTGAAATTTTCACACATAAACTTCTAAAAAAAAAAAAAACCCTTTGAACTGTGACAGCAGAAATAGCGCTTTTATCTGCATTCAGCACAAATTTTATTAGAAGTCTGACTATTATATTTTCCTTTTTTAACCTAAAAGAAAATGCACTGCAATCTGAAAAACCACGTAACTTTCTGAATGACCAAATATTATTACAGTAAAAGTCCAGAAATCCTCAAAGCTTGGGATCAGAGGTTGTGCGGATTTTAGGACAGAAAAGATAAATCATGATATTCAGACTCAAAATGCAAAATAAATAAGGCGTATTAGATGCATTTAATTAAAATATTATATACATTATTGCAATAATTTATTATATGCATTAATTATATCATATTAAATGATTACATATTCATTGCTTATAAGTAGCGCATCAGGTTGAGATTTGCCTCATGCAAAGATTTCGGTTTGGGATTCAGTGTTAGATCAGGTTGTTGTAAAATTTCAACAGGGGCTGAGTTTCCGTAATATCATACACAATCGTGTCGCAATTCCATACAATTCTGCTATAAACCAAGAAGTGGAACCTGCCTCCATCTTTTGCAGAATCTGCACTTTTTGCATTAACGTCAATGCAACATGTTTACGTTTTTCAGGATTGCAAGCAGTAAAATCATGAGTGCGTTTCTTACCTGTCATTGTATTAAAAAAGGTTGAAATTTAAAATATTCTTAATTTATCCACAAAATATCCGGTTAAAAAAAAGGCAGCACTAAATAATATTGTGAAATAACAAAGCTAAAAAAATAGAACAACGTGAATCGTGAATCTTCTGCTTTTTTACCTCAATGCAGTTTAGAGGGAAAAAAACTTTTATCATGATGTCAATAATTTGGTATTTCCATTATGTCTCGTTATTCGGTAAGTATTTTTCTTCGATATTTCGTACTCAATGTTGTGGTTTCCGGAACCTATAAACCGAGTGTTTATATTTTGAGAGTCGACGCGGATTTTCGGTATTTGACTGTACCAAATTACAGAGACACTCAAGTGAATCAAACTCTAAGGAATGATAAAAACACTCTAGATTCTTTATTTATGATGCATATTTACTATAAAAATCCTTTTTGAAACTTACTGGTAACATTTTTGGAATGCAGTTTTCATCATGAATTTTATGCACTTTTTAAGCATTTGGAGTGATCCAACTTTCAGTTTGTTAAAAGCAAGATATCATTGCTAATATGTTCTTATCCATTAGGCACATAAAATTTTTTCTAAGAAAATACAGTGTTCCCTCGCCATTTCGTGCTTCAGTGCTTCACAGGTTTTTCCAAAATATTCATCAAAAAGTGAAAATGAAAAAATACAATCAAACAAAGAGATGAGTTAACTAAGAGTACATACTATGGGCTCTCATAAATGTGTGTGATTGGTTTCTGGTGCGACATCAACCATCGAGTACAAGTGGATTTATTCTTGTGAGTTGATTGTCTGCGCATCATCGCAGCCTCACCTAACATATTCTCTTCTTGTATTTCGCCAGTCTTGTCCAAGATGTTGACTCTCTCGCATACTGTATTTGAGTGTTGTGTTGGCAATAACGTGTTTTGTTTAAGTGATAACTTTTTTATTAATTAAGCCCTTACAATGCCACGTAAGCGCTGTGCCCTTGCAAAAGCTTCCTCCTGGCGCCCAAAAGGAAGAAGTTGATGACCATCAACGAAAAAGTAAAACTTTTATATATGATTAAAGAGGGCAGAAGTTATGCATCTGTGGCACGCCTTTACGGGCGAATGCATCTACAGTGTGGTACATCAAGAAAGAGAAAGCAAATATCAGCAAAACTGCTTCAGTAACCTTTAATAAAGAAACGAAACGTGTGGTAACTCCGCGTAATAGCAGAATTGTAAAAATGGAAAGCTGCACTGGCATTGTGGACTGCTGATTGCAGGAAAAAGACAGTGAATTTGGACACTAAATGATCAGGACAAAGGCCAAAGCTCTCTATGACCAAATCTTGCCCAATGACGATGATGATGAGGCTGAAAAAGGTGCTGATGAACCTCAAGCCAGTAATAGTGCTGCCAGGAGTGATTCGCCTACTCGAGGATGAGGCTTTTCAGCCAGCAAATGCTGGTTCGAAAAATTTCAAATAAAAAAAAAAAACGTGCTTCTGTATGGCGAGGCTTCCTCTGCTGACAACAATGCTGTTTGTTGTTACATGGAGGAAGAGTTTCCTAACCTCATCAGTAAGGGAGGCTACCTTCCTGACCAAGTTTTCAACATGGAAGAGGATGCCTTCGCGTACATTCCTCTTCAAGGACGAAGTGAAGAGGACAGTCTTCAAGGATCACAAAGACCATATGTCTGTCATCATGGATGGCAATGGCTGCAAGTTTTATGCTTAAACCAGGCTTTAGTTATAAAGGCAAAAGTCCACGGGCATTAAAAAACAAAAATACCGCTCTGTTGCCCGTGTTCTGGATGCATAACTGCAAGGCCTGGATAACGAAAGCTCTGACCCTTGAATGGTTTCTCCAATGCTTTATGCCCACCAGCGGCCGAGCGGTAAAGTCGCTGAACACTGGTAGTTTGGTCCGAGGTTCGAATCCCGCGAACGGTCTGGCTGCATGGGTGTTTTCGTGGTTTTCCCCATGTGTAACGTGTATACGAGCCAGTTTCCCTTAGAAAGTCCTCCACGAAGGCATCCCTCCCCTTAGGCAGATAGCCCTCGTGTGCTTTGCTATAGTTAAATACACACCAACACCATTGCTTTATTCCCCAGGTGAAGCTGTATCTGGCAAAGGGCCTCCCCTTTAAGGTCCTTCTCCTGATGGGCTGTGCTGGAGGTCATGCAATGGACCTGCAGTATGACGGTGTGCAGATAGCGTTTCTGCCCTCGAACACTACATCTCTAATTCAGCCAATAGATCAAGATATCATTTTTGCCTTTAAGGCACTCTACACTCGCTCCACGATGGAGGGACTCATCTCGGCAGTTGACGATGCCAATGTCGAATTCACCTCAAAAGCGTACTGGCGCAGTTACGACTTTGCCTCATGTTTGTCTAATATTCAACGAGCATTAAAGGACATAAAGAGTGAAACCATAAATGCTAGCTGGAAGAAATTATGGCCAAACGTGGTGCACGGCTATCCAGGCCTTCACTCCTGAAGAAGTTCATCACTTAGCGGTGAGGCTGGCTCACTCACATCATAAGGAATGAAGGATTTGTCGACATGGCAAATGAAGACATCAGCGCCCTTATCGATTGCCACTCGGACCCACTGACCGATGAAGACCTTGAGATGACAAAGTCTGCGAGTGAGGAAGAAAACAAAGAGGAAAACGTAGAAGAAACTGAAAAGCGTGTCTTTACTCTAGAGAATCTGCAACGATTTGCACAAGAGATTGACGACAATATGGTTCGAGCTGTCGAGTTCAGCAATCGCAATGATGGGGTTATGTTCTTTTTACAGGGGAATTTTTAAGGACAAGAAAAAACAAAGACAACAACTACTCATCACCATGTTTCTCTCCAAAATAAAGCCCCCGGCTCTACCGTCAGCACCTCCAACAGACGAGTCTCCGAGTGAGCCTAAAGCTTCTACGAGTCAAGTGAGAGCCTCTCCTCCGCCACCTACACAAGACTTCGCCTCTCTCAGAAAGCAGTGGTGCTTAATCCTCTGGGCTGCTAGGGTTTTCGCTAAGAAAACACAAATTTTCCAAAACTACTATGAGAACAAATTATTTTTTTGATTTTAATGCACAAACTCTCCTGGTATTTCATACCTGGATTTATTTTATTTTGATATATGGCCTTAATTTCGTTGACATATTTTAATATGCACGTATATATACATTCTTACAGATATCACAATTAATATTCTAGGCCGTATATATATGGCCTTGCCGCTTAAAGGGTTAATGTTGTAGTGAAATTAGGATTTTTTGGAAGCAGGCAAGATGAAAAATGAGCAATCGCCTTCGCTGGGAATCGAACCGCGGATCTCTGAAATACCAGATGAGTGTGCTGACCACTACACCGCGAAGGCACGCTAGGAAGGCGGGAGAAATACCTTATAATGTTTATTACCGTATAAGGTTTTGTAATTAACCGACTTGGCACTGACACATTTAAGTAAATACGTGTACTGTTTTAATGTTTGTCTTAAATGTGTAAAGTATAAATATTATTTACATATTTACATTTTTGTACCTGCATACAGGAAAATTCTTAGGGGCAAATCCTACTTCGCGGTTTTTCAGCGTTCGCGGAATGTTCTGGTCCCCATTAACCACGAAAACAAAGGTATTACTATATATGTAACTTTTTTAAAACTTTTACTGTAGTACTTTTATTCAGTAGCTTATGGATTTTTCCAAGTCTGTGTATATTTAAAATTTGTGTTTTCATAATGCACAGATTTTTAGAGTAATTTTACATTGAAAATGACAGAAAATAATTTTAAAGTATAAGTAATTTTTTTGTGTTTTCTCCTCTGATTTTTTTTTTAGTGATAATAGCTTTTTCTGAGTTTATGCAATGCTCTTCTTTTTTTTAAGATGAACATGTCAGTGCATATATAGAAAGCAATGCCAAATAGCTTTGCAATTTCTAGAATTCTGCAAGTCTCTGATTTTATTATTATTATTGTAATTAAAAAAAATCACTTTGCACATTGGTAGAAGACCAGAAAAAAGTTTGATTATCGATATTTATTACATTTTTAATTTAGTTAATTTATTGTTATATTATCTAGTTTTTAGTTTTTCATCATGGAGATTTTTTGCAATATTAATTTTGTAAACTCATTGCTGTTTTATGTAACTTTCTATGCATGACCATTTTTTAAATGAAAATATTATTTTTCACATGTTAGGTTGACAAAAAATAGCTGCTAATTATTGGTGACTTTGTCGGATAATAATTTTTTTAGCTTTATTTACTTCTTTAAAAATTTATGCATGCTTTTCATAATTTATTGGTATGATTTATTTGATTTTGGCATAGCATTTAAGGGCTATCTGCCAAAGAGAATGGATGTCTTTGGGGAGGACTTTCTAAGGGAAATTGACTCGTATCCATGATACATATGAGGAAAACCATGAAAACACTCATGCAGCCAGTCTGTTCACTGGTATTGGAAGTTGGGTCAGATTACTAGTGTTCAGTGGTCTCATCGACTTGGCCAGAAGTTACTTAAGTTATTTGTGAATGAGTGAAAAATTGCTTAATGTGAAATATGATTGTGACCTATTGTAACTAGACAATTCACTTTTTAGAATATAAAGAAGAAATTTACTTCTCGTGATATTGATACTTTAACTGATGAGCAGCTTATTGCAACCATAGGACCATATGGAGAAGTTGAACTTACATTAGCTACAGATAATAAGTGTGTATCCACAGAAAATGATGGTCATGGCGACAATCCATTTGCTGGTATGTTGTTAATTTTTTGTATATTTTATATAACAATATTTATATTGAAAATAAAAAATTTTGAAGTAAGCTAAATAAATATATAAATATATTTATTGTCATTAACAATATCATGATAAATGTACATCATTATATTAAATTTATTAATAATGTTTTAAGGGGAAATACAGTAAAATTTTGCCACTTTTGGACTTTTGGTTATGAAAATTAGAGAGTATTATGGATTATAAGGCTTGTTTTCCTGGTCTTTCTTTACATTTCTCCCTTTTTTAACATTTTGCCTGAAATTTGGGTTGTTTGTACAAAAATAACTAATCAAATCACATCTTAACAATTATATAATCAGAATTTGTTGAATGCAAAATTATTATACTTTTAAATACAATTATAGAAAATAAATAATGCCAGTAGAATGGGGAAATTTTGTGGGATGAAGAATGGATAAATGATGAATAATTTTTTTTGAGGTAAATGCATTGTAAAAACTGCATTTAAGTATTTTGTGTAAAAAACATTATATCTATTTGTAAAATTACTTTCAAATTGTCTGGTACTTTCTTATCATCTACATTCCCAATAAAAAGTCGAGAAATTGGTGACGACATTAAAAATAAATGTCAGTTGAGGTATCTTTATGTCTATTTAACAATGCATCCATTGTCTGTTTTTTAACATGTATTAAGTAAATACAATGCTTATTTTTTTTATAAGCAGTGCTTCTGTAATTTTTTTATGCTCTTGTTCTTCCCATATAGAAAGTGAATATGTTTTTGCTATTAAGAAACGGAGAATTGCACAAATTCAGCATTACACACCAGCCATGACTGCTTGAGAACAGTTGAAGTTTTTGTAATAATGCATCCATTGTCTGTAATTTTCTTAAATTCCTGTTCTTTCCATATACAAAGAGAGTTTGTTTTTGCTTAAAAAAAATAATCGGAAAACTGCACGAATAAAATATTTACCCTAGCTCCATAACTCCAGTCTATTACACGATTGGAAAAAGTTTTATCAATTTGTGATCAGACGCATCAGTTAAGATTAAAACAAATGAATGTTTTCCCAAATCATTGTGCATAGCTTTTAAAGTGTAAGGCATGAAAACAATTATTATTATTGCTTCGGCCTTGGTTCATGCACATGTAAATTTAGGCTTGAGTGCCACATAAAACAGCTGTCACGTACAATCCATAGACCTAAGCTATAGTTGTAGCAAATAGTGTGGTATGCAGAATTACCTTCTGCAGCTAATTCTTCCTTGTCACCTGTTTTCTCCTGTTTGAAGAAATTCTTTAATGACAAGCTATACACAGTAGCAGAATTTGACATTTTATGTATACAGTAGCAGAATTTGATATTTTATATTTATTACTATGTACATGAAGTTTACTATCTGTGCATCTACCATGGCTTATTGAAAATTTTGAAGACATGTACCAAAGAATATGTATTGTTAAGGAGGAAAGCTTCGCAGCAGCAGGAGTGGCTCCCTCCGAACGAAAAGGGACACAACTGCGCATGCATGAAATATCAGTCGCCAAAAAGCGCCAAAGCTCGAAGCTGATGTTGAAGTTCGAACAGGTTTGACGGTCACGTTTATCAAGAGTTTAAAGCTGTGTGACTTAATTTTTTCCCCTGCATATTGACAGATATAAAATCAGACATCAAACTGCGATATGGATAATACAAGTTCAACTAGTAAAGCAAAAATGCATGAAAATTCGAGTTTAAATTATTGCGAAAAGTCAAAGAACGATTCATTTTAACCCGTATTCCTCAATTTCCTGTACATATGGCGGAGGTGGAAAATCTCATCCAGGTACATCACAAAGGGGAAAATTCTCGCCAAAAGGTTCTGTCGCCAAATCCCTTTGCGAATTGTCCCTCTTCTTTCTAGCGGCGTAGAAGACAAACTGGTTTACATTACGTCTATAGAGCCTTTCCTTCTTTACATAGACTTTCTTTGCATGTACACCGTACATCAGAATCGCTTATAATTTTTTCAGTACATGGGTATTTGTTCTGTAGGTCTTCATTAACCCGTTCAGTACAGATGTGTTATATGTGCATCAGCAGCGAACATTACCTCACGGCCGGGTGTGTCATATTTGAATCGCCATTTAATTCACTCTATGGCTGGGTGTACTACATTTGACTTAGATAGAACATTTAATTAATATTTTTTGTTGCCGCTAGATGTAGCTGTATGTCAGTTATGGGGAAATATATCGAAAGTTAAGTATGTGTACCTTCATTCCTGTGCAATGTTTTTTATTTTTGGTATTGTATTTCGGAATGAGAGGGAGATTCGTGGGTGGGTGTTGAGCAGTGTAATGTCTCTAACTGCATCATTTGATATAAACAAATGCACGTGTTCTCAATGCTTTGAGGTACTTTTTATTTTTATTTATGCGATATAGGTATTTGAGCGTAGAAGAATGTACACAAATGCTAATTGGTTAGTGTTGAGTCATTTCATATAAACAAATGAACATGTTCTCATTGCTCTGGAATACTTTTTAATTTTATTTATTTTTTTATCACCATATAGTGGAGTAGATGTTTTATTAGACTTTTTTATTACTCTTAGATTTTTCCGGCATTGAGATGAATATTTTGTATGGCTTAGCAAAACTTTTTTTTTTAAATGTTCTATTGCTGGTGTTCTATTTTTTTTAATGGCAAAAAGTGCTATCTGTCTCTGACTGTAGAAGATACACAAATGCTAAATGAGTCAAATTTGCTGATATTCCATTCCTGTGACATTTGCAACATTGGACTTTGCATACACCATGTTTCAAAGAATATCATACACTGTCTCTTTTATGAAATATTGCTTCCTTTTCGTTGTTTGCACATTGAATTTTTATGAAGACAGTTTTAATATTTTTTAAGTTTAATTATGTGTTGTGTTAATAAAATCTGCGATTGTTTGGATATTTTCCCCATATATATTTAATTGTGGGATAAAGGAAAAATTATGTTATTCTAGAATGAGTATTTTATAAAATTTTTAAGGAAAATATAACGATAAAGGTTTTAAATTAAATCTGACAACTACCTGAATGTTCTTCTCATAATGTACCAAAAATTAGAACAATTGGATGACAAATTTAATTTATATGAATATTTTTCCAAGGTTAGGCTTAGCAGTGCAAATTGCCCGTCCCCACAAGACGACGTATCCGGTTAATGCGCCGTCCCAAGAGAATGCTTCGGCACCACAGGTTGGGTTAAATATACACTTTCGTATTTTTTTAATCCATTACTTAAAAAAAGTAGAAGGTAAAAATAAATAAATTGAAATGCAGTAAATCAATGTGATGCATTGTTGATAATTAAAAAATACATGTCGTTGCCAAACGGGAAACGTCATCGTTTTGCCAGATTTTTAAAAATCTTTTTAATTTTTAAAAATTAAAATGATGATGAAGTAAAAATTTGAGGATCTAAACGTTGCAAGAGAAAGATGATTTTAAATTGATATATCTACAGTGAAATTTCAGCAAATCGCAAAAGAATTATTTAAGATGTGGTGCAATAATATATAAGGGGATGATACATACTAACCTATGTAATGCACCATTGATAATTAAAAAATGTATGTATATATTATAAATTCAAATCACAATCGAATGAATATATCAGTTAAAAATTTTGGTTCTGGCCATGACAACAATTTAATGCTCTTTGTACGAAACCACTCTTTCGATATTTTGGCCGTGTGGCAAGGAGCAGAATCCTGCTGAAAAATAAACGAAGCATTGTTGGGAAAGAGATCTCTGATGGAAGGTAGAAGTTTTGGTTCCTAGAATAGGGTCAATGATTTTCTGGCATTCAGTGTCCCATCGATGACATGAAGGCGACCAAACCATCTGCTGACATGCATGACCAAATCATAACACTAACTGGGTTCTTCACAGTTGCTTGAATGCAGTCAGGATGTAGCTCTTCTCCTATTCAACGTCTTACATATTTTCGCCCATCACTACCGAATAATGATATCTTAGTTTCATCACTCCATATAACTTGTGACCACTGATCATCTGTCCAATTAATGTGTTCCTTTGCACACTGTAGTCTTTTTTTCGTTGCTGAAAATTAAGATAAGGCTTTTTTTTTTTTTTTTTTTTTTTTTTTTTTTTTTTTTTTTTTTTTTGTGGAATTCTACCTCTCTGTCCAACATCTGTTAATCTTCTCCTGATTGTTCTTGAACTGACAGAAACACCAGCATCATTCAGATCACTTCTGATGGCCGCTGATGACATTTTTCTATCTTGGAGACATCCCTTTCACCGTCGTCATTGAGAGCGTGGACAGCAATGGTGGAGGTGGTTATCACGGTCAGCGTTAGACAGTGTGGTTCCTATGGAAGGAAGGGACATGGGGTAGTGAAATCCATCTTCGCATGTGTGGGAACAAAGCACCCTCAAGGCATACGGTGTCCTGTCAGTTGGCTAAGTTCAGCAGTGGAGTGGAGACTGCAGCCAAAGGTGTCAGTGCAGGACGACCAGCAACATGGCATACAGCAAGCAAGTGTGGCGGCTGTTTCAGATTTGATCATGGTGAACAGTCACATAATGTTCAACAAGATGCAGGAAGAGATAGGGCAAGAAACATTGCAGGCAATTATGCATGGTGATTTGGAGATGACAAATGTGTATGCAAAGTGGGTGGACCTAGAACCAAGACCTTGGACTACACATTGCTTGACAACATTGGGATGCAGTCAGGGGCCAGCATGTTGAATCTTCTGCCGAATTGCATGGAATTGTCCACAGGTGTTGCTACCATCACCCCCAGAGACAGGTTTACCAAAGCCTTTGAGGCCTTCCAGCCAGATGACAGAAGTGTATTGACATGGTTGGGGATTATTTCTAGCTAGTGTACTATCAGTTTTTTGTTAATAAATTGTATTTCGCTCTGTGACAGCATTTGTGTCATTCATTTCGGTATAACCTAAATATTATGATGTAAAGTATCAAAAGACTATGTGTCAACTTGAAAAAAAGAACTGCATCCCCAAAATATTTTCTTTAATCTGTTGGGGCATCTTGATAAAATAAATCTGCTGAGAATTGCTTGCCCCTAGCCAGATAATAAATACTGACGTCAACAATTGGAGATCCCGAGTTGAGAACTGACAACTCAGTGGCCTGTGCTGTGTAGTTATCTTTTATCATTATAACATCAAACCTCATGCTTCTTTAATCACTCGGTGAAAGTTTTTGAATTTTTGTTGTTACGGGTTTATCCCACTAAACATATTTCCCTTCAGCTGTGGATTAGTACTTTTCCTGTTGTTACAGAATGCCATCATTATGAAAATATTTCATGATGTGAAAGGTATCAAAACAAGATTCTAGAACAGGTGAGTTTTTTCAATGTGTCATAAAGCTACCGTGATGGATGCTGAAGGTCTTACGTAATGATGGCAATTATGTTAAATCATAGGTCTTATATTTTTATATTTTCTGCCTTTTTTCAGTTAAAAAATGAGTGGAACTTTTGCACATATCCCCTAATGTATTCTAATTATATATGAAGTTTTAGTTGTTCAAATAACTGTCTAATTGAAAATTTCATCCTGCAGGTCTTAAACACGGCTCAATATCTACTCCTTTCCAAAAAGAAAATGTTTTGCCCTTCTTAACTCAGATAACAAAATCTAGCAAAGTTCATACTTCATCATGCAAATCTAAGAATATATATGAAAATGTTCAGCTAGCTATGGAGGAAAATAATGACAAAGTTGTAATTTCATCAAGCGACTATGGAACTGCTCAAAGTAATAACTGTAGTTGTTTGTCTGTTATGAGTCCATTTGATGAAAAGGCAGAATGGGCTGAAATAGCTGATATCATGGCATCATTTGGAGGTAGTATTGCAAGGGAGTCAATTTTTGCTCAAGATGTTGAACCTCACTTTGCTCAAAATTTTAAATCAGGTGAGTACTTCTAAAGTAATTAAAGCAGATAAATTTTCATTTAAAATTAATTTTTTATGTGAAATATATTGATTTTGTATTACCACTGTTTAGAATGCCTTCGTTGAATATCTTATGCAAAAATTTACATTTCGTCATTTTTATTTTGTTTCTGTTCCTAAGCATTGTTATAAATTAAGTAAACATTGGATGTTTCTGGATGGGAAAAATGATTGTGCAGGCATGAGAAAGGTGAAAGTTTTGTATGAAAAGCAGCAGCTTTATGTAGTTGTATCTAAATTGTGTATTTCCCAATACTGGGTGAAAATGGTATAATAGCCTCATGCTTTCACATAGGCATCTAAACCAGTGCAAACTGATCTGTCAGCACATGTCTGTCTGCATCTGATAGATATAGATATATAATGAGCATAATTCATGATTTGATTTGTGGCATTTTTATTAAGCAGAGTGAAACAGAAGGCAAATCTCTTTCTCTTATTTATATTTACAGCTTAATGTGTCATGCAAAGGAATATTATTTCAATTAATGGAATACCAGCATTTAGGGAATCCGAGTTTGAGAGTTGCGTCAGATTAAATGCTAGAGGGAACTGTGTTTTTGTAAATTAAGAAAAAATAAATATAGATTTAATATTTTGAGTGAGGATGAGGCCAGTTGTGTATTTCTTGGTAGTTACAAGTCCTTACAAGAGCTATTAATCTTATTTTAACTATTATGAAATTAAATCTGGTTGCTGTTTTTCTGTTTAACAAAGCGTATGGGGGGAACACAGCGTTGTGCAATGAATTGGAAGTTGATCTGTCAGCACTATCCTTATCTTCAGGGCAGATGTTTTTATTTTATTTGACTTATAATTGCAGATGTTTTTATTTTATTTGGCTTATAATTCCTTACTAAATGTAATATTTCATCTCGATGTACTCCATCTTTGATATGATTTAAATCAAGTTCCTCGTCATTATAATTTGCTTCCGATAGTGAAGTGACACAGAGGTTATTGAAAACGAAAAAATTTCGATTGACAAGTCCTTATTCTCGACACAGCAATTATAGGACTTGAACAGCGGAACTTTGTAACTAAACAAGAAATTATGTCTGTTTAATAGAATTAAAGAGAAAGTATTATCACATGAAACGAAGCAACTTAAACAACTTACATCGAAAGAAATGTCTAATAAAGTAAACAAATAAATATTAAGCTTTTTCTTTTTGTAAATTTTGATACCCTTTAGATCATAATTGTTCTTTATTTCATAAATTACAGTTTCATATTTTTAATTTTGTAAATTCTGCATGCCATCTTACCAGATTTAAATTGATTATCTATAATCCGGAAAAATCGATAATCCGGAATCGCCGAAGTCCCGACGAGTCTGGATTAACTCTTTTTGACTGTAGTAACCTTGCAAGTAAAGATTTGTGCTTTACTATTGCAATTAAGTTTTCCAGAAAGAATTATCAACCATGAATTAATTGTGTGGCAGTTCTAAATGTGATCTGTTTCTGTCAGTTTTTTTAACTTATTAACGCAACCATTTTGGCACAATTTGGCAGTCTTGCATATGAAAAGGGAAACAGTTATTGGGTGCAACCTAGTGATTTTTAAGATTTGAAAAAAAATCCTAAACTTTTGATGTTTATTGTAAATAGACAAACATTACCAGCATATCAAAAGAAAAATAAAATTCAATATTTAGTTATTAAATAAGTATTATGTGATGTATTAAAAATTAAAATACGTTTTCCACAAAGCCCTCCTCTAATTTTTTAGTACTGTTCTACCCATATACAGATATGCATATCTATGCACTTATAAAAACATCAGAAATTTCCATAAGCATGACATTTTGCATCAGCTATCTAGCAAACCCATCCCATCATTATTCCCTTTAGTGATGCAGTAAAATAATGTATTCTTGCTGATTTTTTACTGCAATTTTTTTCTATTGCTGGTAAATTCCACAAACAATATTTTAAAACAAAATTGAGGGCAAAAAATATCACAGTTTGTCTGTAAACACCATTGGAACTTTGAATACAACAAAGAGAATGCATATGAAAATGGCAAAATTGCTTGACTGAGGAAGTCTTAAGAGCATGGTTGCCTGAAGAATGTTTATGCACACAGTTGCCAGAATTTGGCGTATTCTGCAAATTTGGCTTTTTTTTTTCTAAGGTGGTTGTAATAATACAAGGTGTGGCTATTAATTTCCAGGCCTGCTCTAATAACACCAGAACAGATGATGTGAAAAACATAACCTTTTAATGTTTTGAAGTAATCCGCATCTGCCGTAATACACTTCTGTGCTTGGCTGTATAAGTTGTGGAAACAACTTTAAAGTCCTCTTTCGGAAGGCTCTTCAATATCGATGTCACGTTCTTGTTGATGTCTTCAACATCCACAAAGCATGTTCCTTTGATTGGGAAAGAAGAAAAAAGTCTGGAGGCCAAGTCAGCAGAGTATGGCAGATGATGCAGCTCCACGACCTCATGCTTAACCAAAAACCTCTTCACTGGGAACGCAATGTGGGGGATGGGGGGCGGGCATTGTCATGCAGCGTCACGTCAACATTGATGAGCTTTCCGAAAGAGGATTTTAAAAGTCGTTTCCACAACTTATTCAGCTGAGCACAGAAGTGTATTACGGCAGATGGAATTACTTTGAAACATATTAAAAGGTTATGTTTTTCACATCATCTGTTCTGGTGTTATTAGAGCAGTCCTGGAAATTAATAGCCACATCTTGTACATAAATATCTAATTTTTATGGTTTATTTGTACTAATGCTACCATAGATATATTGTTGAGTGATGTGTAATGTCTTTATGTAGAAATTAACTGCTCCCAATTCTCCAGCAGTATATCATAATCTTGCAAAAAAGTGCATTTCATGCTTTGACTAGCGCCATTCATTTAGTGAATCATTATGAAAATGAGAAGGCACCTGAATTTTTATTTTGTTTGTTTATTATATATGTAGCATATTAGAATAGATCTTTAAGCAGATTGTCTGCATTGTACCGCCAGATCTCTGGGAAAGACAGACATTTGAAATGTGTTTGAATGTGCTACGTTTGAAATGTCACCAGATTCAATAGAAAATTTTAGCAAAGTGCAGGTAGCCCTCCCTACAACACGGTATCCTGTAACACAGTTTCACTATGACACGATTCATAAATTGCGCGGACCCTCCTATAGCACGGTCTAACACGAGAAGAAAATTGCCCAAGCAATCCGAAGAAATTTTAACGAACTCTGCATGAAGATTTTCCATACTGAGCAAAGCACCCATATAGAGTAATTTAACACATAAGAATCCTTGTTTCGTAAGTTCTGCCAGTAGTCTTCCAAGATTCGGTACCCATAAGAAAAAATGTCCTCAGGGTGATGAGCCATGTGTTGGAGAGCAACAGTTGAATTCTTATCAGTAACGGAGAAAAATTGTTTCCTTGCATGGCATTCAGAGCCAAATAGCATAAAAGAAAAAATACCCAGTCTCAGGAAAGCACAGTTACCAGATAACAAAGAAACCTTACTATTGCAGAACGTGAACAACATTATGTCACAATAAGTGCTCTAAAGTGCACAACCTGCATGTTTGGCTTCCAAAATTTGAATTTTCATCTCCGCGGCCTGAAAAAAAAGTTTCTCCTGCTGCTAATCAGCAGTCTGCGTCTAGCCTCGGTGTGTCAAAGAATAACTTTTTCGTCTTTAAGACATTAAGTTTCAGTCCCAAAACATGTCCAATAAAGATAAAACAACAACGTTTAAGAGGAAATTCATTTCTTTAGAAGTAAAGATGCAAATTTTCGACCGTCTTTTAAAAGGAGAAAACACGTCTCACGTTGGAAAAACTTTTAATTTGAATGACGTAACAGTCCGGACTATTAAGAAAAATAAAAAGAAATAAGTGCAGTTGCTGCAGGATTTTTGACATCCACAAAACATGCAGTTCGCCCCTAGCGCTAGTAATTGAGAAGATGGAAAAGGCATTCAGCATTTGGATTGATGATAGCTGCCAAAAAAGAATTCCATTGGGTTTTAATATCATTAAGTGATAAGCACTCAAAATTTTCAAGCACCTTAAAGAACATGGAGAATCATCTGTCAATCCAGATTTTGTGTCAAGTAAAGGTTGGTTCGAAAATTTGAAAAAGCTTGCAATTTGTAGCATAAGAATTCAACGAGAATCTGCATTGGCTCATTGTGAAGGAAGCTACTAGGACGTTGATTATGAAGCTAAAGATTGGCATTTAAATTGTTTTGTGCCAGACGCTTAACGTTATTTAAGGGAGAAAAATTTGAGCTTCAAGGTGCTATTACTATTACATAATGCTCTATGTCACCCCACAAGATTTGAATGATTCCAGCGTCAAAATACTATTCCTACCACCTCACGCTACTTCATTACTCCAACCATTGGATCAAAATATTATTTATACCTGTAAAACATATTACATAAGAAGAGCATTACAGTTAATTTTAGATGTAACCGATTCAAAATCATTTAATCTTATTGAAGCTTTGAATACAGGACAGCACTGTATCAACATTGTATCTTTGTCTCTGAAAGAGCCGAAAGCATCAATGTTAAATGTTAGAAGAAGATATGGCCCTCTTCATTTGAAATAGAAAACGTGTGTTAATTGTCAGAAAAGGAAGTTGGTAGCTTATTAGAACGTGCTAAATCAATCGGAGATGAAGGTTTTGTCAACATGGCTATTGAGGACGTTCAAGATTTATTAGCGGAAGAAAAAATTGACAAAGCAGATTTGATGGAAATGGCATCCAAAGCCATAAATTAAATCGATTCTGAGGACACTAGCACTAATGAAGATTGTGGAGTTAATAATTTAATATTAAAAAAAAAAAACATTTAAAAGAAGGCCTAAACATAGTTGAAATCTCTAATCATTTTTCTCGACTGCAGACCTTTCTGCTGAAATAAGCCGAAAATTCAAAAGGGAGTTGCAAAACTGTCTACCTCCATATCCAG